TATATATATATAGTTCTATGTTTGAATTTAAAATCTCCATCATCCTCACAATAATTAGGTATGAATTGGGTTGTTAAAATCTTTTCATAGAAATTATTTAATTTTTTTATTCAAATCGGCGGCAAATCAAAATTAGAAGAAGAAAAAATTTTATTCCAATCCTCTTGCCCCACTTCTAATTATTTTTCTCTGCTAGGTCTCTTTTTTCTTGGATTTTGCAAAGAAACCTCTTACTGTCTTCCTCTCATGTAATTTCTTGAGAAAGGAAGATAACTTTTACAAAAAAAAACTTGCTCTCTCATGCGTTTTCCCCTCTCTCTCTCTTTCTCGCGCATACAAGTCAAAATGAAGACAAGAGGATTTCATCCGCAGATTTACTTTTCTCACTATCTCGTCGTTTAACTCTGCCATCTCCATATTTCCACGCAGATAAGAATTAAGACCTTTAACATCCCGCTAAGAAATCTCAGGCCTAGTGTTACCGACTACCCTTTTTTAATCCCTTTAGTCCCATCCAAGCCGAAACCCAGCTCTTCCTTGCTTTTTCATTTGGCTTAGTAAACCAAGCCCTGGGAATGAACAACAATTTGAGCAGCCTCTCGTCTTCTATCTTTTGGCCTTCACTGAGCTTTCTCATTTTCTCTATTTTCTGCCTATATCTCATGCAACAAAACAAGGCCTCGCGCATCTTGGGCTTCCGCATGAACACAATTTTTTCTCTTGCGTGCACAAACAAGTTGCCCTGTTTTAAGAAGCCAGTGTCTTCAGCCACTTCTGTCTTGAGGTATAAATTTTCTTATTTAATTGGATTATCCTAAAATTATTTATACAAATTATATTAAAGTTATTCTAATACTTCATTTTGATTAGAGTCAACTTATTTTATGATTATATGAATCAATTTGATCTGGTCAAAACTCACATGCATTGAGATATGATGTTCGATTCATGAATTTTGCTTTACATAATCTGTTAAGGAAAATGTGAATATCCTTGCATAAAAAATACCCATGCGTCATTATAATAATGTTGGTTAAAAATGATCCAATGTAAATATGCTTTCATGATTAAATTGTTAATGGAATTTGTGTAAGTGCTTGGAATTATAATATCTTTTGCATGAATGAATGTAGTTCTTTTGAATGCCATGTATGATTTGTTCATCATGGTTTGCCGACAGAATATTTAAATGACTTTTTTTTTTGAAAGCTTTATTTAACTGGTTTCATGCATATATAGAATATATACCCACTCCCGAATCTTAGAAGTTTGAAATGTTATTTCTTGATGCATTGCACGCAAAATTAATAATTTCAATTATTCTATTTTTAGCTCACAGGGGTGATCATTACTATATGCATCAATCATTGTTACTATCCATCCATATTTTATTCTATTTGATTGCACCACTAGACTAAAATATGTTTTTTATGTGGTACTTGTGAGAGATATTCATACCTGTTTTAGTCGGCGAGTCATTTCCTCCCGACATACGGTCATGTCAATCGTTGCGTTTAGGTGTGCTCACGTGCCCAAGTTTTATTTAGTCGGGACAGTCAGTTAGAGCCCTGACTGATATATACTTCTAACTTTTTTACATTACTCTATTTTTTATGATGTGTGCACACACACTCGATATGGTTTTACTTTTTTACTCATACACAAGTTTGGTAGGGCGGGACTTTGGAAATTCTCTTTTGCCTCGACAAGTGAGTGTGATACCCCTCCTTAAGACCACATGCATAGGTTGTTTGATCATACATTGATGATCTTCATCTGCACTTGTATGATTTGGACTCTTGTGGTCCAAATCAGCTCCTATGTGCTTTGAGTTATGGACCTACTAGGTGCCATCACTGTTCATTTATAGGCTACCTATGCTGTGACATACTCATGACACTCGCACAGATGTACACTTTGGATATTTGGGTTTATTTTCTTAAAACAGCTCAATATAGTAAAACAAATTAAAAATAATTAAATATCAAATCCCCTAAGAATTAATGGCCATTTTAAAACTAAAAAAATTCTGACTTTATAATACACCTAGCTTTGTCATTAGACGCATTTTGATTATAGCTTTCTTTGGTCAGTTTTAGCTTTCTTTGCTTATTTTACTTATTAGCCTAGTCTTCGGTGATCATAGACCTGATGATTCGCCCCGGATATTTTTATATGACATTTGAACTATTTGATAATTATTGTATTCAGTTATAACATTTCCCTTGGATGAATCTTAAGTGGGCTAGAGACAATCTTATATGTCTGCTCTATTTTGTTTAGATGACCTAGCAAAACCTTTTTACCCCTTTTGATTCCAGTCTAGTGAGACAGATTCGGGAAAGCTTGTAGTTACTTGTGCATTTAGACCAATCGGTAGACAGTTGTAGATGATCCTCATTGCATATGAGTTTCTTTAAGGACCTTCCCGTTTAACTTTAAAATTCATTTAGGAATCCTAAGCCAACTAACAATTCCACCATAGGACACCATTAATAATACTATGCTAACCATATATGCATATCCTACCTTTAGTTTTAGTTTTAGTCTGTTTAAGTGTAGACAACCGGTTTATTTTGAATTCACCATGGGTGTTTTTTGGGTAGATTAGCAGCATGTCCCAACTAGCCCAGAGGAGCCTAATTTTTTTAGTGAATATGATAGTTTTAGGTTAATTTACTCAATCTTGAGATTTGCATGACTCACTTTCAAGATTTTTAAAATTGATAAGATTTAGACATATGAAGTCTCCGATATTTGGAGTGGAATGAATTATATTATTTAGCATTAGACTCCTCTACCTTTTGAACGTCTTAGAGATTCAAGAATGGATCACTGTCCACTCCTTTAGTGTTCTTCACACCACTTTGAACCTTAGATTTAGGATTTTGGATTGGAAGGTGGGTCACATCAACTCTTTGTTCTTGGATAAAGTATTCATAGGCCTTTATGGTGCGATATGAGACTCGACGAAAGACAACTCCGCCCGACCATATGAACTTGAAACATCATGAAGAGGATGCTAAGCTTGAACCTAGATCTAAAAGGGGATTAATGTATTAATTGAGTACAGCCCACAACCAAGACTAATGCCAATGTGATGAGACCTATAACTTAGTCTCACGCGGGTCTAAGTGCCCATGAATTTAACTTACAGTTTGACTTGGAAAGGACTGTCAGCTAGGACCCATTTAATCGTTTAAAATCATGACGTTTGGTCTCCATGTAAATGCAGGATATGATATGTGTGATATATAATAAATATGATTTATTACTTCGCCGCTAAAATAGGACGATTTTGACCGTTAGTCAGAATGATATACAAATGCTATTCTTATTTTTTTATTATTTGATTATCTAGAGTCAAGCGTGTTATTAAAAATGAAAATCTAATATACTAATTCATTGGGCTATACATATGTATGCATCAGTATGAGATTTTTGCAAACATGAAGAAGCATGCCTCTAATGGATAAGGTGATTCAACCAAATGTTAACTGCACATCTATGGTCAACTGGAGAGGTTAAAGTTTAATTTCTTTGAGAAAATGGAACATTGGGAGCCATGCAATTATCTTTCTTATAGAAAGTTATTTTTTTCATATGGTTAATTTTTAGTTCATTTTGCTTGCCCATTTGTGAAAATAGAAAATTTAACATCCTAAGAGCCTAACATTGACGCAGATTCTGGCCACGTATGAAAAATTAAATTTAATTTTTTTTGGGTGAGTCCATGATACAAATAGGTGTTTCTAAAACAACACTCAAGATAAACAAATATGCAATAAAAAAGCAATTAAATTAATAAATGGAGGTCGATAGTGACTGAGTTCATAAAAAACCTAATTGCCAAACATAACTCACACTGTGGCGAGACACATGATGTGTGTGTGTGTGTGTGTGTGTGTGTGTGTGTGTGTGTGTGTGTGTGTGTGTGTGTGTGGCTCACCCTAAAGTGAATCATGTGTGGCTCACCCTAAAGTGAATCATACTAGCCTCAAGATTGAAAGAGTTGAGTCTAAGCAAAAGAGCTGAGATATAGGATAATATGTAGTTCACTTAAAGATATCTAAAAGAGAGACTAAAGCTAAGTAGGATAATCATCAATAACTCAAATGTCATATGTGATTATCCGAGGCAAACAATCAGTTAGATTCTAAGGTCACTTACAACAAGGTTGATAGCGAAAGTGAGCTAGTACACCAAAAAATGACTAAAAAAAAGTGTAGTCAAAGGGGGCACCTAATGAATAATCTAGATGTACTTCAATGTCTGTATTTTAGGAGTTTTGGAACGCGTGGATTATATCTCTCTTAAAGTTTTGGACGTAAGTGAATCACACGAATTCATATAATTATTCCTCAATTATTTTTGGCATGTTTTTGTACAAGTGGATTTTATATGTAGCGGCTTTAAAAGCAAACTGGTGTCTTTGAACTTGTTGGAACTTTTGATGTAGGCCGCTCCCTAACCTTTCTGGGTGTAGACCAGGCTTCTGATGCACAATCCAACAAAAAAATATGGTAAGATTGGTGACTTAGTATATGGGTATTTACATAAGTACTATTGAATTTCTTATGTATCTACATATTTAAAACCTTTTTTTTTTGTATTTATACCACCTAAATGCGAAATGAATATATCCGTGATAGGTTTGGTGTAGCTCCGGTGGCGGACAAGGTTAGAGAGAGTCGTCTTAGATGGTTTGGCCACATTACTCTTCTACCATTTGATGATCCGGTTAGGAGAGGAATGTTTTAGCTTTGATTGATGTTAAGAAAGACAGATGTAGACCTAAAAAGACTTGGGCATATTGTATAAAAAATGATCTTAATTTATTAGAATTAAATGAAAATCTGACCCTCAATATAACACAATGGAGAAAAAGGATCATGTAGCTAACCCCACTTAGCGGGATAAAGGCTTGTTGTTGTTGTTGTTGTTGTATATTTATACCACGCAATGGAGAAAAAATGATTCATATAGCCGGCCCCACTTAGTGGGATAAAGGCTTGTTGTTGTTGTATATTTATACCACCCAAATATTTTATATCACATTAAAATATCACTTTTTTAAATTTTAAATTGTGAAATACACCTTTTCATGCATAGATGAAGTGACAAACACGTAAAAATTGAAGTTTATGTGTAAGATACGTAAATACAGAAGAATTGAGTTGTATTTATGCAAATCTTCCCTCTGTATATCATAAGGTTATTCTCTTGGATATATTTTCCTTTGCAAATTTTTGCATTTACAGCATCTCGAACTGCATTACTTCAAATTTAGAATTTCGCACATGCAAACCCTTGTATTTACGTGTGCCATAATCAAACAATTGAGAATTTGATGAAAGTGAAAAATAGAGTTGATTTTCTGCTATGAATTTTGATAATTGAGTGATAATTTTGATGAACGGATTCAAAGAAGATGGCAGTTATATAAATAGTAAATATTTGAATGAAATTATCCTTTTAAAGACTTAATTTTAGTTTTTTGCAATATTACCCTTATTTTTTTTTACACCAAATGGATTTCTGATGTATGACATTACTATCATCCAGAGCTGATGATCTCTATCCCTCCATAGAAGACCTGCAAATAACTATGAGAGCAAACTCCAGGATCACTGCAGGTTTGAACTTGTGATATTATGTTTTTGACCCTGAGACAATTTTTTTTTTTTTTTTAAATAATTTGTAAGACTTGTTTGATTTGTATACTTCAAATAATTAGAATAATTATGCGGTTTTGAAATGTATTATTTCATTGAGAATTTCTTACTGTAATGGTTTCAATTCTTCTGAAAAAATGATCTATGCATCTTAAATCATCTTGATATTAATTGCAATTTAGAAATCTGGAATGGTTACTGTGAAAATTTTCTGGGATTTGCATAGCATCATGCTTCAAGGTTTGTTTAGAGTTTTATTTCTCGTTTAAAAACATCAATATTCCTGTTTGTCTTGTTTATATTTTTAACACAAAAATTATTTGTGTTCAGCTCGTTTGCTTAGCGAGCCGAACATGAGCTATTCTCGAACAAAGAACCGATTTAACAGCCTCAGTCGCGTAGGTGTATGATGTTAAGGGTAGGGACGTGATCTAAATTTTTTTTTTTTTAAAACATTATTTAAATATAATTTGATATTTTTTAAATAATAACTCTAATTCATTATAAATGTTCGTAGCCCTGTTCACAAATAAATTATTTAAAACTATTATTCTTACATACATATACATATCTATACCCATATATATATATATATATATCCATATATATATATGTATATATATATATATTAAAAATTAAATTAACAATTAATTTCATAAAAAAACTGCAGCCACCAAAACAGATTTTTTAGACTCTCAATTTAGGGGAATTTTTTTTTTTAATTTTAATGTTGATTCGCAGCATGCTTCCTCTTAACAACTTGTCTCTGTTTGAGAAAGCTTTTTGCGAGCTTTGCTTTTCAATGAATCATAATTGCTTTTAACTAATCACTTTATATTATTTCCCATAGGCCTTTCTTTGGGATTATTTATTACTTTCATTTTATTCTATCTATTTTGTTTATTTTCTACATGTTCTTAAGTTAAAAATAAATTTGTTTTTTTTTTAATTTTAGGAATAATTTTTAGGTGTTTAAAGTTTTTTTTTTTAAATAACTAAAAATATTTAGGGTCTTCTTGGAGTAGCTGCGGCATATTAAAAAGCAATTGTGAAGCTGCTGAAAGGTAATATGATGTTTTAAAAATTGCAGTCTCTATTATAATTTTTTTTTTATGAAAAAATTAATCCGCGGCTAGAAAGCTGCCACCACATCTAGCCAGTATCTACAGGAAAAACGCAGATTTCAGTGAGTTTTTTTTGAAAAGTTTAACTAAAAAGACAAAACCGTGGTGCGTTGCCACTGGCTGCCCGAAACGGCCCTGTAGTGTATTTCCGGGATCTTAATTTTATAATTTTTATAATTTTTTTTTTACTTCTAAAATGAATGAAAATAATACTATAACTTAGTAAATATAGTTTAATGGAAATTTAAAAAAAAAATAGATTTTAAAAATATATCCATGAAAGTCATTTTTAAAAATTAATATTAGTAATATTTTGCATGTGTTGTTAAAGAGTTTAGGGTTAATAAATAAATATGAAATTTTAGGATTTTGGCATAAAAATATATAAGAATTTTGGGGTATGTATGTAAATTCCTTCAAATTTTTTAAGCAGTTAAATAAATAAAGATTAGAAACTATAGCGCTGTATCAAATGCCATCATGATCACAATTCGTCTAATTAGTAAATGAAATTCATTATGTATATATGACCCATACTTCTTATGTATTTATATATCTAGCCCATCAATTTTGAATTATACATGCATGGTACTCCTATCTTTAATATCACATCAAAATTATCACTTATAAATTCTAAATTTTTTCATAGGTATTAGTTATCTAAGTAAGAATATTGTGGTATGCATGTATATTTTTCAAAAATATATATTAGATTATTCAAAATAATAAAAAAAAAGCTTCATAACTTATTTATTTTACTTGTTTCTAACGACTGATTTCGACATCACAGTCTTATTATGTTAAATCATTGAAAAGTATTTAAGATAATACGATTCTCTAGTTTAAATTTGGCCCAAACATCAACTAGTCATCAATGGAAGTTGATTAAAAAATGTTGCAGGTTTAAATCCAAGGTTTTTATCTGTGTACATGTTGGATCTTGTCATTATGCTAAGATGTTAAATTATCACTCAGCTGTTACAAAATTTTAGCACAAAATGAATCATGTTAAAGCCTTACTCAACTCATTGTTGAATCCTATTAAAATTATATTTGAAACCATGTTTGAAACACGATGATGAAATTTTGCTTAAACTTTTTCGAATTTGTTAAAATCTTGTTCAAAATTTCGAGCCGTGCGAAACTAATTTGGACTCGATCGAATTTGGAATACAATGCGAGCAACATTGAAAACAAATAATATGATTTATGATGTCTAATATTGTTCGTAGTCTAAGGTTTATAACACGAACAAAGATTTAGATCAAACCAGTCAAACATAAAATTGTATTCACATTAAACATATGATGAGTAATGCAGATAAAAACTTTTTCTTCGAACTATAATACAAGACATATCTAAAAAATATATAAATATATTTGACCAATTTAAAACAATAAATCATATAAAGTTAAATTTATTAATAAAAATCAAGCAGTAACCTTATTCGCTCTATTGCTCGTAACTATTCCTATGGCCGCTCGAGTTGAAGTGTTAGATATATAAATACATAAAACTTTTGTGATATGTACGTATATTTTCTATTTCACTTTATGAGTTATTTGTGAGCTTTATCATAATGTAATTATTCAAAATTTTCATAATAGGAAGTGAAGACATTACAAGTCAAGTTTTTTAAGGAACATTTACATAGGTAGCACATAAATCTTATTTATTTACAAATCCCACACTTATTACAAGTCAAGTTTTTTAAACTATATTTTGGTTTATATAAAATCGAACCGTGATAGAATGCACACAACAGTTATATTTGTAAATACTAAATTTTTGGGGTTGGATATGTAAATACAAATGAATATGTAGCATGTTATGTAAACTGCCCAAAATAATTTCGGTTTGCGCTAGAATGTCGATTTGTAGTTCTTCGGCCAAACTTTCGTTTTGCGGCGTTGCCATCTAACCGCCGGTCGCTCCCTCCGGCCTCTGGAACCCACACAGCTTCGGTCAGCGAAATCTCGTTCCCTCTTACTCTGATCCCCATTGCTCATCTGCATCTGCCTCAGCTTCCAGCCGCAGATCGATTCTGTGTCCGCCATGGCTTCCTGGCTCAAGGTGGCCGAAGGTATCAATATTTCAGCTTGGTATAGGTCATCTATTGTCATGTTTCTTGTGATGTTATTAAATCTGAAAGTAAATGGAGTTTGAGATCCAGATCTCTACTTTTTTCCTGTTAATTTTATCGGGAAACGCCGTTGCTCGTAATTCAATCAAAATCATGTGCTCCTGAGTTGTAGATCTTAGTGCGTCCGAACCACTATCTGGATGGATTTTGATGCATGCATTCCACAAAATAGTGGCTGCTCTAATTGTTGAATTTGGTTTGAAAATGGAGATTGTAGAGTGCGAACTTTCTAAGGACAAGACTTCCAAATTGGGTTCATAACGACATTTCTCTGAAAGCGGCTCTCTCTTCACATTTCTTACTGAAAACCAAACAAAACAACATGTCTATGTTCTACTCAATGTTATCAAGCGCACTTCTGATGCCTTGCTGGTTATGTAAGAATAATATAGCTGTTCAAGAAAAGTGAAGGAAATAAAACAATGAAATGAATTTTTTGTGTATGCTGCATGACAAATCATGCTGGGGGGACAAAGGGGATTATAGATGTAAAAAAAAAATTAAACTTGTAAAAGTAGTTAAGTATAGGGAAATTTACATATATATACCACACAATTCTTATGTATTTACATATCTAACACCCAAATTTGATAGTTAGAATCATAACACCTTGGTGTCATAAACCTATGCTTAAAAAGACGTATTTTGTTTTAAAAAAGATTGTGATGGTGGTTATTTTATATGTGATGTTAAGGATTTAAGTGATATGCATGTAAATACGAGTGTTTAGGTGTTAGATTTGTAAATTGATAAGAATTGAGTGGTATGTAAATTCCGCCTAAGTTTATTGTATATGGTTGATTGGTTTTTGGAAGTCTTTGATTGATGTTGCTTTATTTTTTTGGTTCATTGACATCTTAAGGTTGAAGTCATTGAAATGTTATTTTGACCATAAGGAAGTTGCTATTTGAATGCTGGCTTTTGACCAAAATCAATGTAACAACTAACTTGATGGCTAAACTGTTTGAAAAAAGCGAACTTTACATACATACCACACAATTCTTATATATTTGCATATCTAATACCTACACTCATAAACATTTGATTTTATAAACCTATGCATGAAAATGTGTGTTTCACTTTTAAACAATTAATAGCAATGACTTTTTAATATATTGTTACTCCCAACCTTTTCTCTAATATATTGTTCCTTATTCTTTCCTTCCTAGTTTTTCCATAAGTCCATTCTATCTTCATTTATGCAACATTCAAATTAGATATCAATGCCTTTTTAATAACCTATCATTCAGATTCATATAATATTACCTCTCTAATTGTTGTTTTATAAAATTGATCTTTACAACAATTCTTTTATAATGCATTGAGATGTACACTTACGTGCAAATTTTGATTAGTTGTGCATCTTCTGGCATGCTTCATTTTTCCAATCTAGAAATGTCATTTGTTGTGATGGTTGGAATCACTTTTATGACCTAATATGCCAAATAATGGATCAGATCTTCTAGAAGTTGTGGACCGAAGAGCAAAACTTGTTGTGGGTGAATTGTCAGACGAGCAGTCTGATTTACAAGTCTCAGGTATGAGTTTCATATATCCTTATTTGATACTATTCTTGCAACACAATAGTTAGTACATGGTTTTTCACTTTTGTTTTAATTTTTTTTGATATAAGCATCCAACGAACGGGAAGTGAAAGCCCGAAAATTAAAATCTGAGGGCAAGGTCAGTTACCTGTGGTTTTGAAACAATCTTCTTATCAGTGTTGCTTGAGAATTGAGATTCCATATTCACCTCAAAATTTCTTGTTTTGACATTTATTTTCAGGGTCAACCAAGAAAAATTGTGGGTAGAATTGCAAAGCCTGCTTCAGCAGAGCAAGAGCAGACTGCACAAGCAGAACTCAGCTTGAAGATTGACAGAATTGATAATTTGGGAAATGAAAGGGGTCCAGAAGTTTCTGCCAATCATACATCTGAAACTTCTTCGGAAGTTCTATCTGATGCTGGTAAAGATATAGAGATATCAAACTCTGCATCTTCTCGTGTCCCCGAAGCTGCTGAACTTGAGAATAATATTCATGAACTAAAAGAGGCTCCTTCTGAGAACAATGTTTATAAAGCATCTTCCACAACCAAAGATACTACTCTTGTAGCAAATTTAGGAGATTCCCCCTCTTCTCTTTTAAACGGTGAAGCCCCTGTAAATGTCAATGGAATTCATCCTGCTGATACCGTTTTTGAGGGAAGTGTAGCTGTTGCGGATAAGAATTTGACAATTAATGAATTGAGAAGAGAGCGTGAAACTAATCGAAAACATGCTATCAATGATGGACAGGAAAACGAGCCCTTTCCAGAAGTGTCACCAAAGACGAACAGACAGGTCGAAAATAAAACGGAATCATCTCCAATGAAAGTTCAAGACCAAATTGATGAGGTAATTTATTTTCTACAGTCACTAGGATCACAGAATATAGTTTTATGCTTATAAATTAAAGGGAAATTTACGTACATGCCAAATAATTTTTATATATTTGCATATCTAATATCCAAACTTTCATATTTACATTTATAACACTTGGTGTCATAAAACTATGCATGAAAAGGTGTGTTTCCCTTTTAAATAGTAAGCAATAGTTGTATTTTTTATGTGTTATTAAATATTTTGGATGTTATGTTTGAAAATATGGAAGTTTAGGTGTTAGTTATGTAAATACATAAGAATTGTGTGGTATGTATGTAAATGGCCGTAATTAAATTCCTAATTACCTCTTCTTCTGATTAACACGCCCAGCATCTAGTAATCATTCATGTTGTTTAGCAGGCTCAAGGATTGCTTAAAACTGCAGTTTCTTCGGGACATTCAAAAGAGGCAAGGCTAGCCAAGGTGTGTAAAGAATTCTCTGTTTTTATTTCCACATTATATTATCTATTCAATGATTTTACTTCTGCTAGTAGTGTTAAATGTCTATGTGAATAGGACAAATGATTGCGAATTTCTTTTGCTTTTTTGTTCAAAATGGTAGTCCCTGGAACAAGCCATGCAGTAGATCTTGAGTTCAATCCTGTTTAAAATCAGCGGCAAACTGGCCTTGCACATAAGTGCAGCTTGTTCACTCAATTAGGATCAGATATCATTAGGAATATTGACGTTAGAAAAACCCCAAGAAGAATAAAACAAATCTTGCTATATAGCAAGAAATTGCAGTCTACTACTGGAAACCAATAGGTACATATCCCGCTAACGGAATGAAACCATTAAAGCCAATGTAACTGTAGTCTGCTACAATATCAGAATAATGATAAATGTTAAGTCAATTGCAACTATGATTGGAAGATCTACATACATACCACCCAAATCCTATGTATGTACATATCTAACACCTAAACTTCAATATTTACCTATGCATGAAAAGGTGCATTTCACTTTTTAAAATTAAATGGTGGTATTTTTGATTTGATATGAAAGATTTGGGTGGTTTTAATGTAAAAAGTAAATTTAGTTGTTAGATATTTAAATTCATAGGAATTGGGTGGTATGTGTGTAATTGCCCCATAATGATTTTTAATTGCTACAGGATCTACATAAGAGGTTTCAATGCCAGGTTACCAAACTGATTCTACATTAAAGGAACATTTTTAAAGCATGTATAACAATTTAATCCTCATTCCTTCTTGATCCATAAGATCATAAAATTAAAAATATTACCAAAATTAATAGGAACAACCCAGACCCCTCGCTTAAGTCTAACCAAACCATCAGAGAAGATATTCCATTCTCAGGAGGCATATTATCACATGCATGTTTATAAAATAATCTGAAATTGAAATTATAAAACATGAAATAATGAGTGATGCAGAATATTCTTATCCTGTATTTGCTAAATGTTTCTAATGAGTGTAAACTTGCATATCACCATCAGTTCCTTTGTTAGCTAGTCCTTGGACATTGCATTCTGAATTCATGTCTTTTAAGGTTTCTTTGATTTGTGTTCTTTCATTGGGAGGATATTTATACAACTACTAACTAGTTAGTCCAAATTGTGACATGTTGATGAAATAGCTTCTCATAATTTTAGATTGAGATGGAGGATAACTAAGTTTTTATTGATTATTGGTTATAGTGCATGATAAATATGTAGTTGATGGTCCTTTGTTTCTTAACTTGATTAAGGGACCTTTCAAGTTTTTGCCAATATTTGGCTGTTCTCAAAATTTATGCCGTTGATAACTGGAGAGATTGTATGGTGATTACTTGGAGATCTAAAGATATACAAATATTATAATTAGATTGATGATGGCTATTTACCTTTATGGGAAGATGTCTTCCTCTTGGATTTCTTCTGTTTCTTTCTTCTAGCTATCTTCTTCATCTTTCTTGTACCTTTTAATTAGTTTTTTTCTTGGAATTTCAAGTAGATAGAAAGAGGAAAGTGAGAGGGAGCTTTTCTAGAGTATAAATTTAGAGAGCGATGATTAGCTCCAAAGGTTTGTAGAGTGAATGTAAAGTAGACGAACAAGAGAGTTTGAAAATTTATCTCTGTTTTTAAGAAAAATAGACTAAAAAGAAAATATGAAAATCCTACTTAAAATTTTAATACATACATACATACATACATATATATATATATTGAAAAACCAAAGGGCTTATTTTATTGAAAAAGAAAGGATACATAAATGTTGTATGAGAGGGCTTAATAGAGGCACCCTACCCATACGATACCAAGCACAGTAATGCCCTAACAAAAAAATACAGATAGACTCAATAAAAAAAAAAAAATTTAAACATGCTGAAAAGAAGTAGCTAGAGACGAGCCAGTTTAGTCCTGATTCTTCCTATTGTTTTAGGAGCGGAGCCAGATAACAAACTTTGAAGAGCCGTGCCATTGTCAGGAGTAACCAAAAGTAACCAAAGTATCATTAGTATCATTCATTAAGTTTCCAAGTTAGAGTGTGCCCCCAGCCTTTTTCTTTCGCTGAAAAGTGTAAACCTGTCATTTTTCATCTGAAGACTGGCTCATGTGATCCTCGGTCTGATTATACATTAGAACCGCAGTAGAAGGAAAGACAGTGGTTGCCGCAGCGATAGGTTCCAGTGTATGTGAAGTGTGAATTGTCTTCTCTGCACTTTATGCTTCCTGAATAGGAGCTGCGGGGCTATATTGATTTTCGGTTCGAACATTATCCGTTGTAGTATGGTCAGGAGAAGGGATCTCAGGGGCAGACACCCACCAACTTCTGTCTTGTGGTGATTCCCCCTCAGGTTGGCTGTCATCAAGTTTGCTGGGAGCACGTTCAGGCACGTGGGGTGCACTAATAGCATGTTCCTGCTTTTAACTATTAGTTCTCAACTGTGTGTACAATCTGAAACATTTCTCTTGCGGGTGTCCAAATATCTTGTAGTGCTTGCAGTAGTAAGGTTTTTGTTCCATAATGATTTTTTGCCACTAACCATCAGACTTCTTCTACATCTGGTAGTGTAATATCTCTTTCAATCAAAATCCTTGCAATAGAGGGCATTGAGAAATAAATTGTAGGTAAGTCGCAAACAACGATCTTTTTGTGATAACCCTGCTAATATCCATGTAAGCCTCTAAATCTATGACATAATCTAAAATTGCTTTAACATTTATCAACAAATTTGATCAGAAATAGTTAGACTTGCAAGCATTATTCTAGAATATCTGTTTTATCAGCTGAATAATTCCCACTATCCTAATTATTGAGGAATATCTGCAATTTTTGGCGTGCCTTGAATCATATTGAAAAGGCGTGCCAAACAATTTGCAAGAAGAATTTTATGAATGAATACCTTCAACTCCTACATTTTGTCAGTAGTCACAATCGAGGAAACCAATCCAAATTTCTTGTAGAAGGAATAATAGTGTCCATTTTGATCAAGATCCTAGCCCCAATAACCAAAATAGCTTAATAGTACCAACTTCCACTAGAAACGGTTCACCAAAAAAAAGAACCATGAGAATATATGGTGGATTAGCTGACTTAATGCTTCTGGAGTATAGGAAAAACATCCATATTTGAGTAACATGAGATTCCTCGAAACATTCAAAGAGAGTTGACCACTTCAGCATCCAAATTGGGAACCCATCCACATAGCATGATCTGCTAGAGAAGAATCTTAAATAATCCACTTCCATGAATAATTTGATATGGTATTATTATAATAAATAAGTTCAACTAAATAACCCCCATCCAATCTAAATTAAACCATGAATATAAGAACAGTTTCCAAATTGGGGCTACGCAATTGAAACATACTAGTAAGGAATAAAGAAAAATAGATGCTAGCTCGTAGATCTTTTTATCCACTGAAAAAAAAGAGTGGTGGTTTATGGTGACTTCTCGTAGGAACTCATTGAAAATACATTGGGAATCAAAAGGATTTTCATTGGGAATCAAAAGGAGACAAACTAATGATCGAGACCCTTATTTTCCCAACAACAGCTGTGAAAGAATGGGGAGCACCATTCGAGAGATATTCCATGGTGATCAAAATTGTTGGTGCAGGATCGATCATATGTAAAGCTGCACATATGGATGCCTGAGAAGCAATCAACAAAAATAGATGGCATGGGTATTGAGTAATCAAGAGCTAGTGGAACAAGGAGGTACAGCATCTAAGAGGAGATGCTGAATAGAAATTTACTAGTGGGGAGCCAAACTAAAATAATAAGGGCACCCACCCTAGGAACCTTAGTCTGAGATAGTATGAGTGAAAATGCCTACTCCCGTAGATAACAATGCTATGTAGCAGAGATCAAAGGTGGATGGAACAATCAACACTGAATCCTGTGAGGGAGCTCGTGTTGCTTAGATAAATTACACACGTGAAATAGGGCTGGTGGCCACCTAGTACCGCACAAGGTGGGTGAAAACGTGATCATGAAGCATGACAATGTCATGCATAAAGATGGACGAGAGAATATGAACACTTTGTTCACAGGAGACTTGAGATTGTAGGAATGAAGGTAGGACTAGGGAGTTATCAACAACATACTGCACAAGCTGGAGATTGGGTGATGCCTTCAAATGAAGTCTTGGAATGACTTAAAATTTTTAATATAAAATTAATTCTCGAGGTTAAGGAATACTCTTAATTCACACGTTATAATACTAATCGTCAAATAACAAGTTACCTTTTTCTTAACTTTCCTATGCCTGATCATACTTACCCATCTTAATGTTTTTTTAACAAAAATTTTATAAAATATAAATGATTATGGCTGGATGAGCTTTTTGTTAAATAATAAATATTAAATTTTTCTATAGTTTCTGAGAAAAAGGGAGAAAATAGAAAAGCTGTTTTTCATCTCATTGTTGGCTCTTTTTGTAGCTTAACATGCTGACATACAAAAAACTATGTAATATTTGTAGCATATCTTCTAGTCACATCTTAATAGGCTAGGCCTACCTAAGTTGATCTGCATGGTCTGCCCATGTGAATTTGCATAGCCTTTTTATTTCTACTTATTTAACCTAATTCAGGATCACTCCCATCATGCAAATTGTTAGATTTTAAGCCACTTGTGAAGGAGAACAACATGGAGGTCTATTCTCTCAAAAATCCAGATTCATATTTTAATAATATTCATGCACAATATTACAAGTATAATTTTTTTCTTACCTTCGCTCATGGCAGTATATTTGTTTTTATATGCTGCGTTAGTTATCTATTTTTATCTTCTTAAAGAGATTAATATCCAATCAGCTAATCAACAGGTTTGTGCTGGGCTTTCTTCTCGCCTTCAAGAGTACAAATCCGAGAATGCTCAGCTTGAGGAACTTCTTGTTGCTGAGGTGAACTGACTCTGAGATCTTGTGATGTTTTTCGAGTTAAACTTCTTGACTTGGTGAGAGGTATTGCATATCCTTTCTCATCACTTAAATATTGCGAACAGAGAGAGCTTAGTAGTTCATACGAAGCTCGCATAAAACAGTTGCAGCAAGATTTATGTGCTGTGAAGGCGGAAGCAGCAAGAGCAGAAACAAATATGACCGAAGCCTTAGCTGCAAAGAACACTGAAATTGAGTCTCTTGTTGGCACAGTTGATGCCTTAAAGAAACAACTATCTTCCTCAGAAGGAAGGCTCGCATCTTTACAGGTGTGTTTTCCCATGATTTATCCCCTTTTCAATAGACTGCTTTTTGTTTTTTTATTGCTGATTCACTTGCCAGTGCTCTGCAGAAACTTAAGGATCTACTTCCCTTGTTTTTTCCTTCTTTTCTTTTTTCACTCTCATTTTGTTTTTTCTAATCAGTTCTCAACCAGTCTCATCACATCAGGATTAAATTTATCACTTTCAATTGGTTTGAAGATGAGCCCGTTTTATCTGTATTGAAGAAGTCCAATGAAATAGACTCATATAAACTATGCAGTTTGTGTGAGATTTTTTCCAGATTTCACAGGAAAAAGGTTGTTTTGTATAGACTTAGTTTTACTATAGCAGTCTGATTTTCTCTTGTTTTCTTTATAGTTCATTGATTAGATTTGCCCTTTTTGTTTCTCATTTTCAGCGTTTTTTGGAGGTTTGTGTTTTAAATTTCTTATGGTCTGTGCTTTCTTATTGAGAAAGGCTATTTTTATTGTGGGATCTCTCTTGGAACCATTTATTGTGTTTGGAACTGACCTCAAATTTTCCTTCTATGCAGGCAAACATGGAAGCAGTTATAAGGAGTAGGGAACTGACGGAGAGCAGAATGATTCAAGTATTTTGATATCATTATAGGCAAAATATGTAGCAGTATTTCATAGCATTATAATAGAATTGTCTTTTCATGTCTTAATAATTTTAATTTCTTTCCTAATAGGTTTTGCGGGAAGAGCTTGCTACGGTGGAGCACAAGGCTGAAGAAGAACGTGCTGCACACAATGCTACCAAAATGGTGCTTATTGGAATTGTGTAAAACGATCTCTATTTTTCTAAATTGTTTCCATGCTGAAGTCATTTCTTAAATAAACAGGCTGCAGTGGAAAGAGAAGTTGAACTAGAGCACCGAGCTGTTGAGGCATCTAATGCTCTTGCTAGGATACAGGTTATAATCCTTTATACTCTATGTTCTTTAAATTTCGGCCTTTCTATATCTAGCATAATTTAAATGCACATCTTATATCTTGTTTGTTTTTGAAAGCAATGTTCACATAGTAATAGATACTTGCATCAACCCCCAGACTAGCACCAATCCCCAAGTAAACCCACACAATTTATGAGATGTTGGGAGTCCTTTGATAATGGGTAGACCAAACCTGTCACGACCTGACTTGAAAATTTGGAATACCAAGGCGAAAACGAACGGTCGGATAACAGTAACATATCATTCTAACAATCACAATTGTCCACAAAAATAATCATCTAAATGGAAAGATCCACTAAACCATAAAGGTATCGGAAACATCATCCAAACCAACATAACAACATTCAGAGTGTAGCAATAGTAATGAATGAAAATCAAACATAAAACAACAATGTTTAATACCTATTTCATTTGAATCTCTTCTGTGATAGAGATACTTTTCTCCTGTTAATCATTTTAGTTTAATTAAGTTTTTCCTAAAAGAAAAAATCAAATAACGCATTATGTTTACAGTAGCCTACTGAATAATTACAACTCTATTATGCACTAAATTTTTATGCATCTGTTTAGACATGAATACTGAAAAGAGTAATGATGATATATCTTTAAATTAAGTTTTAAAATTTTCATTTTAATAAAAATAATTTTTTAATCATTTTTATACATTTTATTATCAACTTCTTTTCTAATAAGAAATTATCTCTGGAGCTTCGTCAAAAACTTGCATCACTTAAGGTACAACCATTTTCATTTTTATTTACATTTTATTTTTGTGCACGGATTTAATAACATCCCCAGTAAGTGCTATATGGGGGTGACACATAATCGACTTAAATATTTGCTTTTTATTTTAAATATGTTTAATTACTTTCAATTATTGAATCAATTTTTTTGACTTTTTATACTATGTAAAAGGTAGAACAATTTTAAAACAATATATTGTCATTTAATTTTTCAGTTATTTTCTTTAAATTATAGAAATACTTCAAGCATTTAACGTATATGAACTAAAGAAAACATTTCTTTTAAAATAATACATATTCATTTAAATTTATCTTTATTATAATAATTTTATTATTTTAAAGCATAATTATTTTTAATTAAAAATAATTTAATGCATATAAAGCAGTAATTACTCCCTCTGTACGTAATTCATCATGAAATGACACAATTAAAGTATGATCATGAATAAAGCCTAAGTTTTGTCCCTATTAGATGACCCAGGCAGCCAACCATATGGGCCCCACAAATTCAATCTGTGGAAGCTATTGGAGTGAGTTTCTTAGTTCTGCTTTTTTTTTATTCTTTTCTTATTATGTTGTATATTTTTTTTTCGTTGTTTGTTTTGTATTTGGTAAGTTGTAATAGTCTGAAATATGTTTATCCTAGGCGTTCTCTATATAATAAGAGGAAATGTTGTAATTTGACAATAATTTTGATTAAGAGAATATAGTTTATCAATCTTTCTTTATGATATTAGAGCACTAGGCTTGATTTTGATGGGAGTAGGACATCCTTCATCTGTTTGCATCAATCGGTACTGTCGAATGTTTTGGTTGGATCGCTCACCGATCTCGATTGTGTCGTTGGGCTTTGAATCTACATAGTTTGTCGGCCTCATCTGCTTAGAACAAAGCATACGATTTCATCGACCCCTTCTACACAGGGAAATCTCGTCGACCCCATTGGTTGTCGTCGACTTTGGTGCCTTTGACTGCTTCGTTATTCGGCCTTCTCTTATGCATGTCTTCTTTGCTTGCTCCTATAGTGCTATCTAGCAGTCGAAATCCTGCAGTCGTTGGAATCCCTCCAACCAGCCTATCGGCTCTTCTCTACTCCTTATCTTAGCCCTTAGACTCCTCAAATTGCAATCTTCTATTCTTGTTGCAACTAGCAACCAACTTCCTTATCCATCCCTAAACGTGCATAGGGTTAATTATCAAGTACGAATGAAGACGTCTAGTTCTACTTTAAAGGTTAATTCTAAATCAAAGACTAGAAATTCTATCCAAATAGCCTCCGAACTCTCTTTATTTTTCACAAACCGTAAGCTTAATGGTCATAATACCAATCCGTGTTTATACATTTGTGGAAAATGAAAAGAGAAACATCTCACGGGAAGGGGCACAATTCTTGAGCTCACTAATCCTAACCATCACTCATGGAATATCCGTGATCATATGATCATGTCATGGTTGATCAATTTCTATAACCACAGTAGTTGGAGAATTATGCTTTATAAGACAACACATGAGATTTGGGAAGCATCTTTAAGACTTATTCTAGCATAGAAGGCACCAAAGAATCGTTTGAGATTGAGATAAAATTGCATGAGATCTGACAATAAGAGTTGAGTGTTATTCAATACTTCAATATACTATTAATCTACTGGTTACAGTTAGATATGTATGATACATATAGACATGGAAGTGCCAACAAGATGTTATGATGTATAAAATAATAGTGGAGAAGAAGAGTATTAAGTTTTCATTGGGTCTAAATTAGAACTTAGATGAGGTTAGGGGGAGAATATGAGCATGAAGCCTCTCCCTATCACTAAGGATGCCTTTGCTGAAGTTATAAGTGAAGAGAGCAGGAAGAAGCTCATGATGGCAGGGATCGTGGGTTCATCTAGCACTGAATGCTCAGCTTTGTGCACACAAGTCCTTCCTGACTCGAAGCCAAAAAAGAATCATCCCATGTGTGAACATTTTAAGAAACTTGGTCACACGAAGGACAAGTGCTGGAAATTACGTATAGTTAAAAACCTGGATAAGGGAGAAAGAACCAAGATAGCATACCCATGTTTCTACCTTTCTGAAGGGTTTGCTGAACATAACCCCTTTTATCAACGAACAACTAGAGGAGTTGAAGAAGCTTCTTCCAAGTACAACCGAGTAGCCTACTAGCTTGATGATACACTAATGTATCATATCCTTTTATCTTGCTAACAATGGAAGATTTTGACCTTGGATAATAAATTCAAGTATTTTTATCACGTGATTGGAGACATTCATGCTCTTATCAACTACCAAGGTATTACAATCTCAAAATTTGTTAGACTTGCTGATGAATCTTATTCCAGGATTTTTAGGAAAGGAGAAGTGAAAGTCTCCAAAGATATTCAACTTTCTTCTATGCTAAATGTTCCCCAACTATATTGCAACTTAATTTCAATTAGCAAACTTCTCTTAACACAAGTGTTTTCTCCACTATCCTATTCTCATGTTCCTGAGTTTGTTGTGTCTGAATCTATTGAAGTTCATGTTTTATTATGACATTGTGTTATGGGTCATCTCAATTTTCATTATGTTGCAAAGTTGTGCCACTATCTTTTTATTAATAAAAACCAAAGTTTTACCTGTGTGAAATATGTCAAATGACTAATCATACTCGTCATGTATACTTTCTATCTCAGTACAAGTGACACATGACTCACCCTTTCTCTATCATCCACAATAATATTCTTGAACCATCAAAATTAAAAGTCATTAATAAAGTAAGATGGTTTGCCTCTTTCATTGATGATCAAACTTAAACTAGTTGGATATTTCTCATGAAGGATAAACCCGATACTACACAAATCTTTCAGTCATTCTACGACATGATCTGCACTTCTTGCCAATGCAAAATTTAAAGTCTCAAAATTGACAATGCAAAAGAATATTTCAACTCAATCCTTGGACCTTACCTTGTAAAGAATGATATCATCCATGTGAGTTCCTATGTTGAGAGTCCACTATAATATGGGATAGCTGAGAGTAAGAATAGACATCAACTTAAGGTATCTTGGTATATAATGCATTCTAATAATGTTTGAAATTTTTTTTGAAGAGATGTAGTGCTCACAATCACTCACGTTATTAATGGAAGCCAAGCTGGGTCTTTGGCTTTCATATGAGAGTCTTTTCGTCCAATCTTCTTCTTAAAATATTTGGTTCTCTTTTTTGTTCACATTCACCAACCAAATATCACAAAGTTTGACCCAAAATCTATTTAATGTATCTTTTTTACTTATCATTCCAACAAAAGGGGCACAAGTGATTTTCTCTCATTACTAAAAGATATCATAACTTCATGGATGTTACATTCTTTGAAAAACAATCCTACTATTTCAAATTTTAAATTTAAGGGGAAAGTTGGGTGAATATCAAATTTAGGACACTATTATGGATACCCTCATTAAACTAGAGTTACCAAAACATATTCTATTTCCCTATAACCATTATGTCTCTCAAGTTTCACGACTTGAGGATATCTAACTTGAGATTAACAATAAGGAAATGCACTAGGAACTTCATGCATACACTAGGAGAAAGAAAATCATTGAGCATGATAAAAACATAGGCAACCACATGACCTTTCATAACCAAACCAGAATCCACACATCTTTGAAGTTCTAAGGGAGGTGGAATCTAGTTGAGAAGACTGGGAAAGTTGCACATATTATCCTATCCAAGAGTGTTGCCTATGTAAATTTATCATCTTATAAAACTTTTGTATCTAATTTTAATAGTGTGCAGATACCCAAGTCTATGCAACACTTCAAAGTCAAGAATAGAAAAAGACAGTTAAAAAGGAGATATAGACATTTGATTTAAATGGCACATGAACCTTTACAAAGCTTCCTCCAAATAAAAGACATGTTGGGTGCAAATGGGTATTCGATGTCAACTACAAAGCATATGGGGGCATTTAGAGGTTCAAGGCTAGATTGGAGGTCAAAGGATTCACTCATTTTTATGGGATAGACTACAAGAGACCTTTTCCTTAGTGGCCAAGATAAATACTGATGAGTTCTTCTTTCCTTGGCAGTGAACAAAGAGTGGTAACTGTATCAACTTGATAATAAGCATGTTTTTTTAATGGAGATCTTAAGGAAGAAGTGTATACGAAGATCCCATCAGGGTTGAAAAATGGTTCAAAGAAACATGTGGTTTATAAACTAAGAAAGTCATTTTATGGCCTCAAACAATCTCCACATGTTTGTTTTAACAAGTTTGCCAATTCTATGAAATCTAATGGGTACACTCAGTACCAAGGTGATCATACACTGTTTATAAAGCATACATAAGGAGGTAAGAAAATTATACCCATTGTTTATGTAGATATGATCTTGATATGTCATGATAAAAAGAGATTAGGAAGATTAAGGTTTCCGCCATTGAATTCGAAATCAAGGATCTAGGAGCTATGAGATATTTTGTGGGCATGGAAGTGGCTAGGTCCTAAAAGGGAGTTTTGATATCTCAAAGAAAGTACATCCTAAACCTACTAAAAGAGACATGAATGCTAGGGTATAAACTTGTTGAGACTTATATGGATTTTAGCAAAAAATACATTCAAGGAGACAAGATACCAACGAAAAAAAGGTAGATTTCAGAGATTGGTGGGAAAGTTTATCTATCTTTCACACACTAGAGCAAATATCTCTTATTTTATTTGCATTGTTAGTCAACATATGAATAATCTAATTGACGAATAATTGGAGATGGTTTATAGATTATTGAGGTTGTTTAAGACCCCCTTGAAAGGGTTATTTTTTAAGAATTCAAACAACATGGAGGTAGATGTTTACACTGATGTTTGTTTAAGAGGGGAACTCATGGACAAAAGATCCACATCTGGGTATGTTTCTATGTCTAGGAAAATCTTGTCACATGGAAGAGCAAGAGCCAAGCAGTGGTCTCTAGAAGTAGTGCAAAATTTTAGTACCGGATAATTGCTTTGGGAATTTGTGATGGAATGTGGATTTAAATGTTACTAAATAAGTTGAGATGCTCCACAGTCAATCTCATAAAGATATTCGGTGACAACTAAGCTGCCGTAAGTATTTGCAAAGAACCTTGTGCATCATGACATGACCAAACACATCGAAATTGGTAGACATTTTATCTTTGAAAATGTCAATTTTGGCATCATTCACTTAATCTACATTCCAACTCATCTTCAAGTTGTCGATGTCTACACTAAATCCCTACCTCTAGGCAACTTCACTTATCTGAATACCAAGTTGGGTCATTACAGCATCTATGACCCAACTTGAGGGGAAGTGTAGAATTTGTCCCCGTTAGGTGGCCCAGACCACCAGCTATATGGGAGGGAGTTTCTAATTTCAGCTTTATTCTTTTTTAATTCTTTTTTTTATTATGTTGTCTCTTTTTCTATCATTATTTGTTTTGTATTTGATAAGTTGTAATAGTCTTAATTTGTTTGCCCTAGCCGTGCCCCATTTAATACGGGGAAATGCTATAATTTGAGGATAATTTTGAATAAGATAATGTAGTTTCTCCACCTTTCTTCATCCAATGATCCAAATCTTTTGAGTTATAAATTATAAAGTGCATTTTAAATCGGATACAAATACTATCCTCTTTGCAACAATATTGAGATACTCTGAAAATTAATTACTATGTTATATTTCATGCATTTCCTATTTATTGTCAAACAACTTTATTCTGAGTTTATTATTGTTTAAGGGAGTCTTACGTATCCTATTTATACACAGAGAACTGCAGATGAAAGCACATCCAGAGCTAATGAGTTGGAGCACAAAGTTGCTTTACTTGAGGTACTATTTATGTTCATTTTTTACGGTAGTAGAAAGGTTCGTTAATACTAAAAAAGATAGCTCAATTTCATATCAAATTTTCCTAAATTTTTATAGATTGAGTGTGCATCTCTAACACAAGAATTACAAGACATGGAAGCTCGCAATCGACGTGGGCAAAAGAAGGCTTCTGAAGAAAATATTCAAATCCTTCAGGTAAGGAATATAGAAATTAGCAGTGATATCTAATTGAACAATTAAATTTATCGAAGGAATAATTCTTCTACTACTATGATTTTGGCATTCTTGGTCAATTTCAAGAAAGATTTAAAATTCAAACATTAATTGATTTTTATTGGTTATCCTTGATGTGTGATTTAACCGGATCTATATTTTGTCTATTGAATTTGACAGGATAAAATGGTAATTGTTATTTAACTTGTTAAAAAATTTGAATTAACTCGTTCAGGTCTTGTATCTACCTGCTTTCCAAGAACAAATCATGCCCCTAAATGTGTCAATAAAGAAACCCAATTCGGTTCAACTGAATGGGATTTAGTTGCGGGTTTAGTCACTCAAAATCCAGCGATAGCAGAGAACACAATTCATCACTGCTTTGCTTATTGATGATTGACTGGACCTGAACGGTCATAGAACGCGGCACACCTGAGTTGATTTCATAGTCATTAAAGCCTTTGTGCTTTACTGCAGCGCAGATTTTTCCTAAGTAGACTTAATTCGATAAGATGCTAAGTGAGGTAGAAAATTATTAGGGTTGTGTCCCTCGTAATTTATTTTTTATTTATTTATAACAAATTGTTAACTTGTAATGAAAATTTTAAATTGAATTCCATCCTCTATGCAAAATAGAAGTACTAATGAGGTTTGTAAATCATGTAGTCCATGTAATCAGAGGAAATCTTTTGGTCTCCCTAAAAATTGAGTTTTTTTATGCGCTGATCACCTTTTTTCTAGCGATAATTCTTATTACAAAGAAATAAGTCTCTTAACCATTTTTGTTTATTCTTTAATCTCTTCTGCTAAAGTAATCTGCCCATTAATCTTTTGTCCAACTCAAAATGTCAATATTTGGCATTCGGACCTGTAGATCACGAGGAAGCTACCATACAACACTACATTAAGAGAGAATCGTCACATACCGTCACATTTTGTCTCAAGTTATCTGGACTCTTTTTATGACTCAAAATAGTTTAATGAAGTCGACACCAAGCTAGATCATTTGACCAAATTGTTAGTGGACAGCAAAGACAATGCTGTTGTAGCCTTATTAGACTACTCAGAAAATGGTAGTGAATGGTGAAGACTTCTAATGTGAGTAAGATCATATTAAAATAAACCAAATAGGGTAACTTTAAAGAAATGAAATTAAATTATAGAAAATAATAGCAAGTCAATTTTGTAGTGTTTCAGCTCAACCTAGCTTGCGATTTTTCTTCCTTGGGCTGTCCACCAGCCCCCTCCCTTAGAAGCAGAGTTAGAGAAACCTTGGTACAGTCTATCCTTTCAGTGAGAGAGGAGATGCCCCGATGCTTCAAGATAAGAAGCTGCCACTCTTAGCACATTTCACTACGTATGTAATAGCTGGGGTGAAATCCTAGCCTTTACAATAGGTCTTCAGATTTAAAAAGTTAAGTTGTCGATTACAGATTGTTAGAGTGTGGTGAGGAAGCTACCCCAACAAATCTAAGAGAATGTATTAATGTTTGCTCAAGGTTGTTCTATTTTCATGTATAGATTAGATGGCTATTTCTTGGTTTTTAATGGGCTTTAAACATGTTGGCTAAAATGCCTTTAAAGTTTATAAGAAAGTGTTATGTGCAAAATTGGAAATACCATACATGAGCGCGTGCCAATACACATGTATGTATATATGTACATTACACAAACTATTAACCCTGTGATTAACCGTTTGTATGGTTGTATGACTCTATATGTATTCTTGCTCAGGTGATACATTTGCTTGAACAACTAACTCCTTAGTATGTATGGCATACATAATTATCAGGATTGTTTATCTATATGCATTTCTCATCAAAGATTGACAAAATTATATATACATGCTGAATTTTTCTAAATGGTGAGGAGAATTATGTATAGGTTTTTTATTAAAGAACTTGTTTTGAGTAAATTTAAAAGCAAGTTTTTGTAGTTTATAAATTAATTTAATAATACATATTGAATGATTATTAGTTTAAGCAACGAATAATAAAATGTGCTCAATACTTATAATTCTGGAAGTAAAGTTGTATATTTAAACAGAGTTGTTCTTGTTTGCTAGTTAATGCAAGCATATTAGACAATTTTAGATCTAATACAAAAAAATTGTGTGCATTATTTATATTTAATTACTTCTTTATTTCCTATAATAGAAAGAAATTGTATGCATTACTCTTGTCTTATTACTTATTTATTTTTTATTAGTACCTTATAATCAGTTTCTATGCATTTGCACAAATTCAAACAGCACAATAAATTAGAAAACGACCTTTCGTTTTGCCTATTAAATCTTTTTAAGCATTTATTAATGGGCTTATTTCAACTAAAAGAATGAATTGATTGAAAAATAATGGTATCCATCAAGATGAACAATGGAATTGTTTGGATCACTTAGGAGAATGTACAAAGCACTGTGATCAGAATATAAAAAAAAATGTGCAGAAATGGAGAAAAGGATTATAAATTTATTGGAGGGGGTATTGGGGCTTGGTTGCCAGTAGGATCACGTTGAAGATATCTTTGTCAATGAGGATGGTTGTGTGGGAGGCTTTTGTATGCCTTGATGTAGATCGCATGCTGCAGAGTCAAAGGAGAGCGTTACTTGTTTCAACTTCAAGAGAAAGTGGAGTGAAGTTTGGGTTTAATATGCAATATATATTGTTGTATTTATGAAGAAAGTTTAAAATCAATTAAGATATTTGCCAAGCAACCAAAGGTGAAATTTGATTTTTATGAATGGAGAATTAGTGGGTAGATTGCATTCTGACATAAAGGAATTTTTTAATTTGTAATCATGATCTCTTTCACCTTTGATTTGTAACAATCCAAACATTCACCCATCAAAATATCCTACTTTGGACTATTGGCCTCGTGATTTTATTCCATTAGTGTAACTCGAAAGGTCACCCATTTTGAGAATAACACTGTCGGCCAAAATTTTGAAAAATGATTTAAATTTAATTTAATATAAATATATGTAATTTGATTTGGAAAATAGTATTTTAATTTTGAAAAATATGAAACCGAACAAATCCGACATATTTCATATTTTAGATAATCAAGCATCCATTTTAAAGCAACACGCTTATCCCAAGAAATAAGCATGTTATCCGACGAATGGACTCGATTATATAAACAACTGAATTCATGACATCCGTTTGATTTGCAAAACCTTCTATATTTGACCGACAAAATCTCATTCATAATATAAGGATTTGATACGGTTTATTTTATCTGGATTCCAAATTCTTTATTAGAGTAAACCCTTATAGTTAATTATATCTTAAATTACCGAAGTCAATTAAGAAAACTCTCGATTAAGATCAGTGGTCATGTCTTTAAGATTTTCAAAATTTAGGTTTTCACAGTTGGACATGGAGAATCAAGTGGAAATGACTCGAGTGAGAAAAATTATTTCAGGAGACAAAAAAAGTGAAAGGCAGGGGATATCACAGATACGAGAACCTCGATGACTTCCCATTTTTCATATTGTTTGTTTTATGTCTTAGAAATATAGTTATTTAATGTTTAATGCTGCTAATTTTAATTATTTAAGACTTACATTCACACAATGTCGTGAGAAATTACGCCGCTCCGAATAACCTCAGAATCCTAAAAAAATTAGGACTTGCGATGCATAACTACAAATAGCCTAGGAAGGTATGAGGAATTATGCCGCTCCGAACGACAACCTCGGATTCCTAAAAAAGTTAGGATTTACGATGGACAACATAGTTGTGCAAAAGCCTAAAGATATTGTGAGGATTTATGTCGCACTAGGCTGATAACCTTGAAATCCTATTGCTTGTTATTGAAACTAAGGAGAGGTTTAGCTGAAGTAAATTTTGTTTTGCTGTCGTAGATCGTCATCCTCCATCCACCACATCTCCATTGTGCTATCCATGAAGGCTTGGTCCATGCTCCATGTAGTAACAATTTCAAGTTTTGTGTTTTATATGTGAGCATGCAATATTTGTTAAGTCGGTGATTTGCTGCACTGTATCACCTAAATCAGGCTATATTATAAAGGTTTTGCAAATTCTATAAGCAAGTGCAGGAATAAAAGAACAATAAGAGCACAATAAAAAAAAATGCAGTTGGGAGTGCAGTAAACGAAATAAACAATCAATTTTACTATAAAAAAACAGTAGAAAATGCAATAAATAAAATAAACATACCTACCTGGGGGTCTTTGCCGTTGCTGCAAAAATTAGTATTGCATGTAGAAATAAAGAGTATAACAGAGAATTTAACAGGCAGGGTAATCATGCATTTATGTAAATTAACAAGTAGCAGCGTATCACACAGAAAACTTGAAGAAAATCACAAGTGATCCACGAAAAATCAAAGACAAACGTAGGAAACGCACGAAAAATCAAAGAAAAAGCATAAGTATACAAGTAGGGGTAGGTTCAACTTAATTATTCCCGAAGGACTCCAAAGGCAACCAACGGTCTTCCACGTACATAAAACCCGACATTCAACTAAAAATTTTCAACAAAACAATCATAGGAGGACAATTCTTAGTCCCTAATAGGCAATTGACAAGTGAACGATATTTAAAGTTTGTGATTTGTCATGCATATAGAAGAAATAGTTTTATTGTCATGCATATAGAAGAAATAGTTTTATTTTAGCTAGCGATCGAAAGCATTTACATTGTAAAAAAAAAATATTTATTTTATCATTATATTTATATATTTTGCAAAAAGGAAATTTTTCACGAGTCGATTACACTGCCGGTCTAGAACCGCCATCATCCTACGAAAGCAAGGGGTCTCACTAGCTTAGTGTCGGTGAATAATATATACATCCTACACTCTTACCAGGTCTCTGGGTCGAGTCTCGGTGTCGTAGGGTACAATATTATTCTGCTTTATTAGCGGATGGTTTTGTCATCACCGTTTTTAAACACCGAACCGTCCAACTTTCAGCTTGCCCGATGACACCTATACCTGCATACTATGCACACTTATACC